TCTTTCTACCCTTTCTTTTTCTAACTGAAACTGTCTATCTATTCTTAACTTCTCCAGTTCAAATTCATACTCTGAAATGTTGGTTTCTGCCTTAACTATTGGCGGTAAATCATAAGACTTAAATATTTGTTCATCTACAAGTTTCTTCACTACTATTCCTCTAATCTCTTGTTTTTTCATGGATGGTTTCACAACTAAATTGAAATGTAAAGCTATGGCAAGTAACTCATCTTTTTTCAAAGCTTCAAAGTCTGCCACCGTAGGAGATTGGAGAAATTCGGTGACAGAGAATACCATGGTGGAATTGATTTCTGCTGGCTATACTGTAGTAAATTTGCACACAAAAATTGCTACCGATAAGAAAATCTAAGTTCCCGGACGAGCCCCCAATTCTGTTACGGGTCAGAGTACCCAATGCCAGCAAAAATTAATGACAAAAGATTTAAAGAAGTTTTAATATTTTATCATTTAACTAAATAAACTAATGGCAATATCAATAAGCTATTCTTAATACACAAATAAACCTATCTGAAAGCATGAAGTGTCCTGTGTGAAAGTCCGATGTGAGATTGCATGGAGATAAATCGGCTCAAAGTTCAGTGAAAGTGTCCGATGAAATCCCACAGTAATTACGATGCAAGTTCCAGTAGAAAATATGAGTGTCGGTTCAGTGGTAAATAGGTTCCAAAAAAATATTCTCCTTCAAAAGTCCCAAAACAAAACTCAGTCTCCTATCCGTTCATACTCCCAGCGTCTGTCTAAACTAACGCTCTCGAGATACTCATGCTCTCGCGATATGGTGACGTCATAAGCTGACCTACTTATACACAACATCAGACAAAACGACTTATCCCGCACGAAAACGCAGTGGATACTCCAGCGCAGTAGATCACTGGAATCATACTGCAAACATGCTTGAAATATGCTTCGATTTTTCGATTTGGGAGCTCATTAGCAAATTTTAAACATGCTTCTATCATGCTGCTTATCTACTGCATTAATGCTCCTCTCTGTACAAACCTATGTACTTTTTTGGAGTAGAATTGCAGTAGGCTATACTGCATTTCTACTGCAAATATGCTCCACACCA